CACACACTCACACACACACACACACACACACACACACACACACACGTACACCAAAATGGAACATAGACGAGCTGAGAGGCGCTGGAGATTAATCAAGCTAGTAATTCATGAGGACATTCATAGACATAGCAACAACAAAGGGAAATCGTTAATAACATCTGCTAAATTCAAGTATTACAACGGAACAATTAATGAATGTACCACCTCTAAAGCTTTATTTTGTATGACAAATCATTTTTCTGTTAAGAAAGACCCCGCCAGCAACAAGTTTCCTTCGAATGTACTTAAAAGGGACCTTCCTGATGTTTTTGGTCCTTACTTTAGAGATAAGATATCCACGATCAGGACACAAACTGTCGCGACTCCCCATAAACAACCATGCTTTGAAACATTCTCTGGGGTAATCTTTAATGAATGTGTAGGTGTAACACAAAAAGATGTTAGACCAATCATAATATCATCACCCTATAAAACATGTAGTCTTGATCCTATTCCAACACCACTGCTCATCACTCATCTTGATAGTGTTATTGGGATTTATAACTTCCATCATTAATGAGTCTCTTCCGTTAGGAGTAGTACCATCACTATTTAAGCATACGTTGGATATTCACTTTCTCAAAAAATCAAATATATCCCCGAGGAGCTAAAAAATTTCAGACCTGTCTTCAACCTTCCTTTTTAAAAATAAAAATCCTGAAGAAAGTTGTTTTGGTTCAATAGAAGAATCATTTAGAAGAAAACAATTTATATGAATTATACCAATTTGCCTATTGGGAATTTCATAACCCAGAACTGTGCTATTGAAAATATATAACGACCTCTTTTGTGAGGCGGATGAGAACAAAATTTCAATTCTTCCTCTTCCTGATCTTAGTGCTGCTTTTAAAATTATAGATCACACTATTCTTTTTGAACGATTGTTCAGCACGTTTGGCCTGTGTGACAGGGTTCTTGACTGGTTCAGGTCCTACCTGATTGGCCGTACACAATCTGTGGTTGTACACGACCTTCTTTCGTCAATTTTTAACCTAGACTTTGGAGTGTCTCAAGGTTCAGTATTGGGTCCAAGCTTGTATACATTATATATACAGTTGCTTGGAGCTATGATTATATAGCACAATATAAACTATAATATGTACGTAGACGACACACAGTTATACAAATCTGTTCCCCCATCAGATGTTAAAACCTTGCTTACCACCATGGGTCTGTGCATTGGTGATGTCAAGAACTCGATAATTGATAATAAGCTCCTGCTTAAAGAAAATATTACTGAAATACCTTTATGTAACCCAAAAGAAAAGCCATATCCCCATAGACATTGGCCATGTTTGCACTGAAAATGAAAATCTGCATTTTACCGATAAGGCAAACAATCTGGGGGTGAATTTTGATAAAAAATTGTCATGGAACATCATATCAGTTATTTAAGTACCATTTTATTTTGTGAATTTCGTAGAATTGGTCATATGTCTATTTCTTTTAATGAACACTCATTGAAAACGCTCCTGTCATCTTTTTTGTTTTCACGCATCGATTATTGCAACGCTTTACTAGCTAACATGCCAATTACCACGCTTCACAAGTTACAACGTTTTCAAAATCATGCTGCTCGGCTTGCACTAAAGAAAAGGAAGAGGGATCACATTACTCCCATGTCAAGAACGTTGCATTGGCTCCCGGTGTCAACTAGAATATCATATAAAATTACAATATTATGTCGCAAATGTATCATTAACAAAGCTCCCTCACATTTAAGTGATCTCATTCAGATTTATGTTCCATCACCTAAGATCAGGCGATCACTCAGTATCTTTTACGAGTTCCTAGAAAAGGAGGAAAAAAATTAGCTGAAAGATCGTTTGTCTACCTTGCTCCATCAGTTTTGAACTCTCTCCCCCAACCCTTGAGACATACAACATTTGAGCAGTACATTTTAACTCTAAATTCTTCTAGGCACTCTATTTATTCTCATTGGCCCTTTAACAACTTAATATCACCATACATATGGTATAATTTTGATTTCTCACTTTCCAAACGACATATTTCTCTTTCCATCCTCTCGCATTTCTAGTCATTGAAGTTTGAGCCTAGTATTAATATCAGACACTACCTTTCGGACTAACCACCCTAAACATGTCCAGATAAAACTTCTGCGAAACTGAGAATCGCATTCATACACTTAATAACAATAATACATTTTTATTAATAAGCCAATGTTTGATGATGACCAATGCAAATTTCACATGAGAGTATATCGTTCTCAAATAATAACAAAGGAGACTAATTTGGTAGAGACATTGAAGTGTGTGTTTGTAACAAAATAATGATATTAGCAAATACAGACTTCAACATAAGTTAAGGACCACCCTGACAGGCAGCCCTGTTTTTTTTTTAAATTCGAAAAAAGACACCAAGGAATGTTTCAAATTGTTTGGCTCTGAAAGTGTTCATGAGTTACCAATGCGAACTGCAAAGCTTCCTAAAGGGGCAAAACCACCACGTGCAGCACAGAAATCCCCGGGGAGTTTTAGACAAATTGTCTGTTGTTTATCGACTTGTGTGCAATAGCTTGGACATTCCTCAATTAAAATTTCCGGTGCACATCATAAACGGACGTACGGTCTCGAACTGAGCTCACTTTGGTTGCAATGTAAGCCGCCGTTTGTGCAAAATCTACTATCGCATCAATGTGCCATCGACACGAAAGCTGAAAGACATTGATCGTGCCAAAGCTATGGCACGGCTGCAAGATGGAGTTGGAGCCCGAGAAGTTGCCAGAAGTCTTGCAGTGTCACACTCTGTCATTCTCCTCCTGAGGCGGCGCCATCAAGCCAATTGATCAGTCTCGACACAATAAGACCCCTCAGAGTGTTTGCAAGGGGTCCTTAACTTATGTTGAAGTCTGTATGATGAGTTCCATTTTAATCGACCACTTTTACATTCTCCACCGAACAAACACCTTTGCAGTTATATTTCCTGTACTTATTTTCTTTTAAGAAACAATATTTTGTTTTTAAAGTTAAAAAGTGGTGCCATGAATACAAGAAAACGAAAAGTCTTGAACTTGCCAACTTAGCAACTTTTTTACTTCCAAGTGATTGAACTTGGTAATATTTTTGGCAGTACTTTTTTCTCCTTTTGAAGGACAGAAACAGCCTGAGTTGTATTTAACCCTTTAAAATATATCATCCGAAGACAAATAACATTTAGAAGTAAGCTAAAAAGCAACGCTAAAACGGTTTCCGTAAGAAGTTACTGATTTAATAGAAGAAAGTAATGACCAGGCAAAATATGTTCCAACATTATGCATTGTTGTTTATCTCAAAATGTCGGATATGTCAGCTAATTATGAAAACATATTTTCTTTGTCTGGGGTGCGAGAATTTGGGGTTAAGAATCACCTAACGTATCAAGTAGCCCAGAGTTCTGGTATCACAAGTGCTTGACGTGAAATCTCGACCTGAAAGACTTCTATAAATGTCCACTCACAAGTCCACAGAATCACATCTCACAGATACCCTCTCTCAGGTACTAATGATGGTTTGTTCTTCCAGCTGCATGATGATACCATCATGAGGCTGTGTTCGTCTATTGACTAATTGTTTTTTTAAATCAAATATCTTGATCTTTCTGCTGGGATATTGTATCCCTTTCAGCTTGGCTTGACCCTGGCAGGGCTTGGCCGGAAGTCTAGGTGCCAAATAATTATCTAGAACTAGCACATTAAAACATTAAATAACTTTTCTCCATCCATGTATTTCCCAGCATGCAGTTCCTGGCTCTCTTTCTCCTTGTGGCCCCTGTGGCTTACACTGTGGCTGCCCCAGACCCCTCCACCATCTGTCTGCCAGAAAAGAGTACCGCACGCGTCTTTGGCTTGATCCAAAAAGTAAGTATCCATAATAATAATAATCATAATGATAATAGTAATATGATAATAGTAACAATAATAAATTTTTAAATAATAATAACAATAAAAATATTAATAATAATAATGATTGTATTAAAATAGTAATTGTTTACACAGTTGTCTCAGTTTGCTTTGGAATTACCTATTATTCCCTTGAGCTCATCTTTAACTCCTTCTCCCCCGTTCTCTTTCTCCCATTCAGCAGGGGAACGTTTTTGTTTATGCATTCCTTTTGAGAAAGGGGGGGGGGGGGTAAACTTACATTTCAAATCGAATTTGAAAACGGGGAAAAATTTAGAACATGCCCTGAAATGATGATTGGACAAGCATCTGAATTTAATCTGGTTATCATCGTTTATTTCAGTTCCAAGCCAACGTGTCTATTGACTTCTCCCAGAACAAAGTCGCTGCGGTCACTGAGCTGGGAACGAGAGTGTCAGATCTCAACACCGTAAGCACGGGAAACATTTCTGCATTTTGTTCTTTCCCTTGTTACAACAGCTCTTCAAGCTTAAAACTCTTTATCATTGGAAACGTTGCCTGCTAGAGCGCTACACTGAACAGAACACGAATAGCGTTAATGTTGGGGCTTTTACGGATTCGAATTGGTAGCTTTTGAAGAATGGTCAATTTGGAAACTCACACACTTACACATACACACACACACACACACACACACACACACACATACACACACACATACACATACTCACACACACACATACACATATTTGAAAAAGCACACTTACACAGACTAACCTGCAAATACACTCTCTTTCATACGCACATATTACACAAATACACACGCACAAACACTCACTAGCACACAAACAAACACACGCACAAACAAAGGTGCTAAACAGAGAACATAAAATTGAAGCAATGAACTCTCTTCTAGGTAGCAGCATAAGTTTTTACAATTCCTCCTGTTGAATTAAGTATTAAATTCAACAAACAAAAAAATGTACCCGATATGTTTAGTTACGTCGTGTTTTACTATCGTATCCATACGACGTGGGGAACTCTGTGCCACAACTTTCTAAAGAGAACATTTACTCGTTAATCCGATCCGTACGCTTTGTATAGCAGTCTGTCAAAATGAATTTGTGAGAAATACTGAAAGTTTCAAAGAGATTTTCTAGAAGTATTCTAAAATGTGAAGAATACAACCCCTAGGATACAAAATGACCCCAGGGAGTACGTATAGGGTTAAGAAACTTTTAAAGAAATATTAATAATTATTGGTTAACACTATCCTTTGTAAGCAAAATTTTGAATGTGAGAATGCATGTGTATATCAGGTTTGATATAAATTTTCATTACCATCGATTTTCCCAAAATAGTGGGAGAATGTATAACACTCTCTTTAATTGGAATTCAAAAGTTACTTTTACAATGAAAATTAATTCCTACTCCGTTTACATTTCTCCATATCAAAATCTGACCAAATTGCTCACGTTAAGTGTTAACAGTACAGTCATAGACTGATGGGCGATTCCTTAAAAATGCATTATTCATCTTCGTTATTGGTTTAACAATACACAGATATCAGAAACATAGACACTCTTGCTTTACATGAATTGCTTTATTTCAATAAATATCTTTTCTCAAAACCGAGCTCCCTATCTGACACAGTCTTTGAAAATTTAAGGGAAACGTAACACATGATGATAATATATTATTATTTATAACAGTGTCTAAGAATCTTTTGACAACTAAGGTACATTATCAATTGGTCGGTTTTAACTACAAGCGGGCTATCCCAGATTTCTGGGGTTTCCAGAAATCGTGATCTAAAACACCAAAAGAGGGCAATACTTTACCGATAGGAGAAGTTTGGTTTCATTGGTGTATTTTATTATTATATTATTTGTTTTGTTATAGAGGAAAACTCTCCTTTTAAAGAAACTGAACAAGGGGCAAAAACTTTACCGACGTTTTGCTCAAAACAGCCTTTCTCGTCTTAATTTGTTTTGCCATTCAATATTTACAATTTGTTACTTTTACAAAACACTATAATTTGAAGCCCAAAGGCTTTTGTTTCTGAATCCCGAGAGTTATGACCACCGACATCGAAATCTGAAATAATTTCACAAATGTCAAATCCATTTAGAAAAGAAGCCACATTATCAGGTAAAACAAAGTCATCCTGGACACCTGTCATGGAATGCAGATCACCTGCAATCAACCAAGTCAAACTTCCATATAATTAATTTACATTGATCATTTCCCACCATTCATTAAACTGGTCGCGCCTTTCAATGTCCCACGATACACCGGTGAGTATAAATGGGGAATGTAAACAAAGTAGAACAATACCATTTTTCGAGATAGCCACCTGAGCTTAAAAGCAACCAATTGTATGATTATTTTACAGAACTACACCTACTTGATCGACGCAACCGGTGCATGCACCAGGGAGCCTCTGCCTATCTTCGGATACATCACAAGGTGTCTTCCACGTAAGTATAATTTATTATTGTTGTCGTTTTTTTTTTTACCTCTAGCTGTTCTTAAAAGAAAATGAACTCATTTTGAGTCTTCAAATCCCATAACCTCTTTTACTGTATAAAAGAAAAATACTAATTTGCCTTCCTACTAATCTTCTTTCTAGAGGTATTTAAATCTTATTTTTTTATGTTAACTCAAAGTATATTCCGGTTACTCTTTGCTCATTAAAAAAATCTAAGATCAGTTTCTCTCAAATGGTAAAACAACAATGAAGCAAAAATGTAAAGCAAAAGACTGCATTAAAATTTGCTTTTCAGTTTAAAAACTGGCAATGTTTTGCCCATAATTATGAGACCTTAAACCAGACATGGACAAACTGGGGCCAGCAGGATATATTCAGATTGGAATAATTTCAGTCTAGCCTCCTAGTCGATTCAGTAATTAATATTGAATATAACCCTGGGTGCTCCTATAATTGATAGAATCAAAAGTATCCTGCTTCAAATTAAAACAGATAGTTTTTTGGAACGGCTAGATGCAAAAGATTTCATATCTTATCTCAGGAAATACAGTGTCCGTTTTAGTTTCACTATTGAGAGCTTGGATATTTCAACCAATTTTACCCAGTTTATGTGGATTTAGCCTGCAAATATTATCAGTAATTGTGTAATCCAAAACGCGAATAAGACACTCTGAATATGCCTGAATTCATCCAAAGATATGTCTGACATTTTCTTTTACTATCATGTATTACGTAAACCCCTTTTCAAATCTGGTCCACAGCAAGCAGCGTGTTCCTTGGTGAGGTTTTCGAGGGTTTCGTCAACAAAGTCACCTTGAACGGTTGGCTGATCCCTGTGAACAAGGACTTCAATGTGACTCTGTTGACGTACACAGAGCCTGGACAAACTGACTCTTACTTCGTGCTCAGGAGAGATGACAGTAAGTAGATTATTGTTGTTGTTGTTGCTGTAGTTGTTGTAGTTGTTGTAGTTGTTGTTGTTTTTCTTCTTCTTCTTCTTCTTCTTCTTCTTCTTCTTCTTCTTCTTCTTCTTCTTCTTCTTCTTCTTCTTCTTCTTCTTCTTCTTCTTCTTCTTCTTCTTCTTCTTCTTCTTCTTCTTCTTCTTCTTCTTCTTCTTCTTCTTCTTCTTCTTCTTCTTCTTCTTCTTCTTCTTCTTCTTCTTCTTCTTCTTCTTCTTCTTCTTCTTCTTCTTCTTCTTCTTCTTCATGAAAAGTACAATTTGCAGCACGCAAAATAAAAACTAGATTGTAAAAATATATAATGTTATTATTTAAAGTGTGTGTGTTTGTGTGTACATTATGAAAGGTAAAGACACACTTCTAACAGAGGAGAAGTTGAGCCAAAAGTATTATGGTTTCTTTTCTGAACTCTCTGTGTTTTCTAATCATTGTTTTTGAAACTCTGATGACAGTTTCCAAGTCTGTACGTTATTGGTTAAGAAGGAATCATAACAGCCAATCCTATCTCCTCCCCAGCTCCACAAGGACAGCGAATTGGCTTTGTCAGCAACCCTGTCGCTTCCATCGCTGACACAACCGTGTTCAACGTTCCCGCCGTCTGCCCAGACAAACCCGCTGTTTAAGAAGGAATAATTGAGAGCACGACTTTAAAGGATGATTCAGAATGTTAGGTTTAGTTTGTTTAAACTTTAATAAAATATTTCGATGCGCTTAGCGTAATAACAAGAGCGTTCGGATGTTTGTTTTTTTGTATTTGTTACCAGGAACAAGAACGATATTTGAGAATTGTTTTTCCTTGATTTTACAATTATTCTTATTCATGAGATGATTGTCTATCGATCGATCGATCTATCTATCTATCTATCTATCTATCTATCTATCTATCTATCTATCTATCTATCTCGAATAAATATTTATGTTTGAACATGCCAAAAAAACCAGGGATATTTTACTGAGCGTTGCATTTTGGCGTCTCGTGTAAGTGAATGTTTTAACAAAAAGTGTGCCATTTGAAACAACTAAAACATGTTAAAAGCGTTTCTGGCAGTTGACGAACGACAGGTAGTATAATGTACACAACTGTTTGGAGCTATCTACAGTATATTTGACGGTGTATCGTCGTATTCAAAGACTGTTTTATTTCCATGAACCGTCTTAAAGAAATGGAGGGCCCCACAAGGCGACCACCGTCTAATTCAATAGCATGTTATATCGATCTCGAGTTCTATCTTAGACTGCGGGGTATTTTTTTCCT